ACCCCGTAAGAAATGGGTGCCCCCGGCCTTGTCTGCCCCGGCCGCCAGCAGTTCTCTGAGGCAGTCGACGGAGCCATGCTCGGCCGCCAGGTGCAGCGGTCTCAAGCCTGAGCCGCAGTCCGCTGCAAGCACCATGAAGGACCGCTACGACTGCGACGGCGACAGCGACTGTACTACTATTACCACTACTGCTTACTACTGCTGCTGCTGCTNNCTACTACTACTACTACCACCTACTCCTACAACTGTCGTTACTGCGACACGATCTCGCATCCTTCGGGCTGGCTGGGTTTCCCACCACCAGAGTTCTGGGCATCCTGCCAGCATTCGGGGCTGTGTGGGAACTTGGGACATCCTGAAAGCTTCTCAGACTTATTCTCCCTGATAAGAAGATGCCTTGCTCGAAGCATCACTCGCGAGTGCTGTACAAGCAGCCCATGCCAGCTGTGTGTTTTTGAGCTTTCGGCGGAGGGCCTTGTCATCTCCTTTGGCAAGCAGCTTCCGAAGACTGCCGACATCGCCGTGCATTGCTGCCGTGTGGAGGTCCTGACAGCCTCACCCGAGCACGTAGCTGATTTTCGACACTCGCAAGCTTTCGGTATGCTGTAGCAGCTGGCTTGTTGAGTCACGCTATTAGCCCTCAGTGCAGCAAGTGCCATTAGCGAGTACTGCATGTTGACGATGCTTCCGAGAGGTCTTCGAGCCCCCAGCCATCCTCCCCCTCCCTCGTCGCTGCCTCAGTTCACCAGTCCGTGACAAGCGACAAGCCTTTAATTTACTGTGCCTGCTACACGGTCCCTCCGGCTCTCCGCCTTGAGGGCTGCTGTACAGCTGTGACAGCTGGCTCTGCAGCACTTTTGCAGTCAAGGTGACCCGTGGCACTCCCACAATCTCTGCGTTCCAGCTCCACTCGAGCGGTGTAGCAGTGGCGCAGGAATCTGCTGGGACCCGGACGTCTCCATCGCTTTGCGCCATTGCTTGGCAATGGTTAGCGAAACGAATCAGGAAGTCACTCCTTGAGTGTTCGACACTGGGCCAAAACGCCCTTTATTAACCTAGCAGCAGACTCTAATATAGAGGCCGTGATAAATAGAAATAATATAGTCTAGGAAGTTATTGAGGCCCCTGTATTACATCAGTGAACTGGTCGAGGGGTGTTCGAGCCCAATTCCTGCGCAGCGGCAAATTCACTGGCTTCGAAAGGCGGGTTTAGGGTTCAGGGTTTAGGGATGTTGGAGCTCGGATTTGCAGCAAGGTGGCGGTCCCAGACAAAAGGGCATGGCGCACATGAACTGTATACGATGGTGGTGCGTCCCATGCGGCAGCTCTAGGAATCTAGAAAACTGCAGGCAGAACCGGCAGTCCATCTCATCGTTGTGCGTTCTCCTAACCCCAAATCAAAAAAGCCTTAAGCCGCTTCGATTGAGCTCTTGTTTGTCTCCTCCCGGCGACGGCCCCCCGGATCAGCCCAAGAGTCGCCAGAGGAAACCTGCAGAGGCATCTTCCAAAACCCTTCCCCTGCGAGCTTTAGGCTTACATATTAATTACAGTGCGTGTGAGTGTGTGTGTGTGTATATACATCTATATGTGTATATATATATATATCATAGAACTATAGTGTGTATATTGATATAATATATTGTGTGAAGCTCGGATCATTGTTTGAGCCATTATGCGGGATGAAGGCCGGGTGACGAAATGCAGGGCTGGTTTCTCGGCTGGATCAAGTGCGTCGGAACTATCTATCTGTCTGTCTGTCTATCTGTGTGTATGTGCATATATATGTATTATATACGTGTAGAGCTGAAAAGGCATGGTCCTGGGGGCTCGGGGCTTAGGACCCTCCGGTTCAGGGCGCTGGGAAGCGGTCTGAGCTATCGAAGATAGCCGAGCAACCACAGCAGTTGCAAACCCTGATGGTTTCGGGTTTAGGGTTTAGGATTCAGGAGTGCCGGGTTTTTCGGGTTCAAGGTTTAGGGGTTGGGGGTTTCTCTGCTTATACTCCCACCAGCACTTGCAACACCGGAACTTCGGAGACCGGCAACCGCAGGTGACCCTGCGGCGGAGCCCTTAGAGGACCCAGCTGGACGATGACCTGCTCTCCGGTCGTGTCGCGCGAATGACATCAGTTTTGAAACCATTCAAAGCCGCAAGTCGAAACCTTGCACCTTCACGAAGATTCTGGCTGTCCCAGACGGGTTCGGGCCACGGCATTTGTTGGGGGACTTTGGCACAACCCTAGACCCTGAACCCTCCCGGCCTCTCGTCCTCCTTCTTGAATTGCTCGGCTCCTGAAAACCACACATTTCACCGGGCATGGAACAGTGCTTGATGCACTAGCTGTGCACATCGTGCGGACATCGCTTTGAGATTTCCATGATTTTGCCAGCACTGCTCTCTTGAATGCTAGGCCAATACACAGCTTAGAGCCAGGAAGACAAGCCAGCACCCAAGCTCGTTATTCTGCCTGATTCACTGGACGCACTCACAGGCGTCCTGGGGTCGATCGACTCAAGGGAGGAATTGGTAAGTGGTGGACACGCCGTCGTATCCCTGTCCTTGTGTTCACCTTGTTGCCTCCTGCCAGCAGTACTTCGCCGAGGGACTCGACGTGGCCATGCTCCGCTGCATGGTACAACGGCGTCAAGCCTCAGCAACAGTCCGCCTCTGCAAGCACTGCGCCAACAAAACATGAGCTTGATGGTATGAGGACGCCTAGCAGAGACCTTTGACTCTGCCCGCGCGGAAAAGGCAGCACGTCTGGAAGCTGTCGCACCATCTGACTCTTCCCGAAACTCTCGGGCCCCCTGCCTTCATCTGAGCATCCTAGCAGCACTGGGTGCATGTGGGAGACACTCTCACGGCTCAAGGCCAACACTACCCAGGAGACACATCGACAACACGCCCCAAATTGAAGTCCACAATGCTCAACACGATACCGGGTCGCCAACCGGCACGGGGATACAGATGACCGAAAGTCAAAACCCATGCGTGGATGGAGGGTGGAGCCTTGTCAGCCGCCACCACCCCACGTCGCTATCGTGAGCTCCTGCAAGCCTCTGCCGAGACATGTTTACTTCGAATCTGGGTTGCTGGATGGTCCCTAAGGTCCACGCATGTCCACGCCATCCCAGCCAGAGCCTGGGTCAAGCAAGCTGCAGGCTACTGAGCAAAGCGCAGTCCTTTCGCTTGAATCTCTCAGCTGTGAACCTCTGGCTTGGCGAATGTTGACGACTACGACTTGAGACTTCAACGTTTCTATCATACGTATCTAACGGCATCTACCACCGACATTAAACCGTGGTAGTAATGGCCAACTTGGACGTTGCTACTGGCTTACTTAGTTGGTACTCATGCACCATCAAGTTCAATCAGTCTGATGAATCCAGATACATCAGTCGGTACTAAGCTGAACACTTTGGGAACACGGAAGGGCGGACTCATGGCGGTCGAACCTTCCCTAGAGTCCAATTGCAATATTGGCAACTGGGGTCCTGGAATTTGAGCCTGTCGAGAAAACGCAGGGAAGAAGCCGGGACGCGCGCTTCTGCGTCCTCGCTTGCTCCATCGCTTCACAAGGACTGGCTGAGCATGCGTGGAAGGTCTGTTTAATGTAAGGGTCGGAATAACCAGTAAAAAGCATCCCCAGTACCTCCTATGGTCCCTATACATAACTGTAGTACTGGTACTATAAAGTTGGGTTACCCGCTGGAAGCTCCTTTTCACCAAAACCCTAAGCCCAAGTGCGAAGACTTTACGCGGGCTTATAAGGTCTATAGGGTTTAGGGTACAGGTTTTAGGGTTTAAGGTTTAGGGTTTAGGGTTGCGGCAACGATCCTCTTACAGCTGAGGGAATGAGCTTTGCCAGAGCCACGATGCATCCCTCGATCATTCCATCGGCCCCTTGAGGATCCAGGTGTTCCGCCCAACATGCAATGATGTATAGCACGCGATGATTCCTCCAAACCAAATTCAAACTACCTGCACCGCAGGTGCAGCAGTGCTCTCTCTGATGCCTACATCTCAGCACCTTGTGCATGTCCCTGTTGCAGTAGGAGATTGGCTTCGGGCTCATTTTGGTCCTCGCGGACAGCGCTCCGGATGATCTGCAAAGTCTGCACTGCTTTGTCACTCCCAGAGGAGTGAAGTGCAACACTCGTCGCAAAAATCCATCCTCTATCAGAGTTCTGCACTGCCTTTAGGCTGTGGCTGCTCGCAGAGCCCGGGGATTCTGGGCGGAATGCGAGTTATATTTCGCTCGGAGCTGCCAACTTCACTCCAGAACGCACTGGAGCTAGGATTTAGGGCTTAGGGTTCGGGTTCTTCCGGGAACTCCACCAAAAAGCTGGAATGGAGGGTCAGCATTCTTCGATACAGACAGAGCCTACAAATGCTGAGACTACTCGTACTGTGGGATGAGCAGAACTCTACATTACTCAAGTAGGAACCCTTATAGTAAGCCTGATAGGAACCATTATCGGAACCCTGTCGCCTGGTTTGAAGCCTTATCCAAAACTCGGGACCCCCCCCGAGTCACCGCGGTCGGGTGCAGTGGATTCAGCCAGGGAGCCGAAAGAAACATAGCCCTGCTTAGCCCTGTAACCTAGGATCCCTAAACCCGAAACCCTACATGCTAAACCCTCAAAGTGTCAAACCCAAAATAAGAGGATACACCAAAAAGCCCTGAGAACCCAGAGTCCCAAAGAAGTTAAAAGCGTAACCCTACACCCTGCAACTCTGCCTAAGGCCCAAACTCTCCGTTGGGTGGGTTCCTTTCTGCATGTTCTAGGCCGGTCGGCAGCGCCGTGCTCTGCGCGAGCTCCTTCGGAGCTTCCCAGGATCTTCGGCGTCCAGGGCTTTGGGACTTTTTATGGGGTTTGGGGGTAGTTTCGGGAAACCCAGGGGTTAGGGCATTTCTGGGTTTGGGGGTTTGGAGTTCTAAAGCTTCGGGTTTGGGGTTGCTTCCTTTTGCACCGCTCAGGGATGCTCTCTGGGGAGTCTCAACACTCGCAGAGCGCATCGCCCGCCATGTCGTCCGAGAGCTCGGCGAGGCAGCCCTCGCAACACGCCTGCGCTCCGGGGCCCTCTTTGGCTTGCGTCGTGGCTTGCGCCTGCCAGGGGGGAGCCAGTCCATGACTGCAGGGCTTGTGGGGGGTTGGTTGGGTTTAGGGCTTACTCTTAGCCTGCGGGATGCAGATCGCGGGGAATCGGAACATCCCAAACTGTGGACCCCCGTTTGACTATGACGAGGATGACAAAAACAAAAGTGATGCTGAGATCGATTGTAACCGTGATGCTGAAGATGAAGAATATGATGATGGTGGTGATGATGATGATGTTGGTGACGATGATGATGATGATGATGAGGGTGACGATGATGATGATGATGAAGATGATGTTGATGATGATGTTGATGATGATGATGATGGTGATGGTGGAGATGATGATGCTGAGGAAAAGGGAGGAGGAGGCGGAGGAGGAGGAGGAGGAGGGTGATGGTGATAGCGGGTGATGGTAACGAATCAAAGGGCAACAGGCAAAGAATGATGCTGATGAAGGTGGTTGGAGGTGGTTGAAGGTGGTGCTGATGATGCAAGCGCCGGGGCGTGAGGTGGGTGATCTGGACGGAGGAGGACCCGGAAAAGGAAGAGGATTAGGAGGAGGAAGAGGAGGAGGAGCAGGAGGAGGGGGAAGGATTGCAATAACGTAATGATGATGTAACTAGCAGCAATAAAAGCAAGGAAGTAAAGTCATACGACCAAGCACAATGAAGCAGGAGAAAAATTCTCGGATCTGTACTTCGTGGGATGGGATAAAGACTGACAGCTTGGCGCGACGTGCCTCGCATGTGGTTGTTAAGTCGCAGTTACAGTTGAAGTGTGCACGATGAAGGAACCGAGTCGTCCTTGATAGAAGTCCAACATCTTTGCGGATTCGGAACCTCAACGGCGGGCTTGATTCTGCAGCTGAGTGACGACGAGAATCCACGCCCAGATTGCGAAACCGATATTGGTCAAGATGAACATAATGCCGATGAACCTGGAACACTGCAGAGTCATGACTTTTGGCCTGAATGCAACCAGAACACCACAAGTTGGCCTTCCGTCTTTAAGCTATGCCGCAGCTACACTGATGCCAGAACTATCCCACGTACCCTGCGGAGCCCGCTCATGCTAGTATGTAATGTTATAAGACGTCGCAACAGACATCCTGTGCCCGAAATACACGAGCCCCAAATGCGTGCTACGACTAAGAACTCCGCCTGGCATGTCTGAGCACCGTACATGAACCATGAAGACTCGGTCTGTTCGTCGAACCGTCCAGCAACGCAGTTCTCCAAGACAATGACTACCTGGGCACTGTGCATGTGGAAAACTGGAGTTGGCACATCGAGCCCCAAGAACAAGAGCGTGAAGGGCGCTCTCCTCTCTGGCTTTAAAGATGCTCGGTCGTCATGTATCCAAGCCGCAAGGAACCAGAAGCATGCCAGCACGTACTTGTCCAACCTGGCTCGAATACACCGAAACAAGACCTGCTGAAATGGCTTTCGCTGAGTCACCAGGCGACGCATGGGCAATGCCAGGAAAGAGATGTGAAGAACCGGCACACATGAAGACGCCTCGACGTATGCCTACATCCCAGCAACTCAGAGTGGAAAGGAACGATGCCAAACGAGTTTTCACCAGCACCATGCTGAGGGAGTTGCTGCTAGCTTCGCGATAAGACAAACCCAAAGGGAACGTGCAGTGTTGAAGCAGACGAAAGCGCAGAGGCCGGCAAGCGCGTGCCGTAGCAACTCGGAATCGAGATACCAGGCAAGACCCAGGAACCGCAGAACCCCGATGATGCCAAGCAGCCAGGTGTTGTAACCGATGGTGGGAACCTGAAAAAACGTGCGAAGCTGGCGGGTGTAGGGTTTAGGATGTGCTTCTGGCTCCTGCACCCAAACCATGAACTTCAAGATCCGTGCTCCGAGATGCCATCTGAGCGGTGATGTACTTGTAAGCAACCGCCGTGAGGACCAAAGTTAAAGTCGCACCTGTGCCGGGACTTGCAAGGCACTCCTAGTACGTAGAAACTTCACGTAGTGCGCCGATTGTGCAGTGAATCCAAGAGCTCGTCGCAAGAAGCCAGGAACGTACGCAGAAGTCAGGGCCTCCTCTGCCTCTGCCTTTGCAAACCAGGACACTCAGACGATCAGCGACTTTGTCGATGTGGATGCTCATCGAGCAAGCACTCCTGAACACTGTAGGGGCAGCACAGTTCCACGATCATGTGACTTCGTATTTGTAAAACACAAGCTCTGCAGCATTTCACAGAATCCACGCGTGCACTACTGATCTTACCTGTCCTTGCTTGACATTCACCGTCCAGCAGGCTTGAAGTCAGAGAGAGAATGGTGTTGCGCTTTTGCCAGGCTCTGCTAGCAAAATCTGTCAGCAGCGGTTTGTAGTCGTTTTGAGGTCTAAAATCAGCTCCCTGAAACATGGTGGTATACCCTGCAATTTTGTGAAGAAGCACAGCACTCGGCATGTTCTGGCGAACTGTATGTCGTCGATCTAGCCTCTGTCTGTACGCATTACAGCACTGGAACGTACTGCACACGGTTGGAACCCAGATGCTACCATCTTTGGCCGCAGTGTCATCACGGAGGTTGCTCAGCAAAACGGAAGCCGAAGCAAGATACGTCGAAACATTACCCTCCAGGCTGGCGTTATGCCGAAGCCCGATCAAGCTCGGAGCTTCTAGGCTTCGGGCAAAAGGTCCACGGAAAACCTCTCAAAACAAGCGCCAAGAGAAGCAGAGGCTCATCGAAGCGATCAGGAACATGGGGAGGACGACATTCCAAATGTAAAACCTTCAAGAGAGCGGTTTCGAGTTTTAGGGTTCAGGATTTAGGGTATAGGGTTCAGGGTTCAGCGTTTCGGGCTTAAGCCGAATAGAACAACAGCTGGTGGAACTAAACCCATGACAAACAGATGAAGACTGTTGAAGGCATGCTAGGAACAGGGAGAGCACGGATGCCGACACCTGGCATGGCATTCGCCCCTGCACAGACTCATCGACATGACATGACTCTGAAGACCATGCAGGAGAGAGCATGACAAGACTGCCAAAGGTTGTAACGCTAACACGAACAAGGACAATGCACCGGTGCCAATTGGTGCTCGCGGCACCGAGGCTCCTATACGCCTACTATACTAGACTTGACTCGACTGGACTAGACTATACTATGCTATGACAGAGCACATGTGCATGACGCGAGTTCAGGAAGCGGCTGCTGGCTGCTGCTGACAACCATACCTGGACTGATAAGAACTTTTCTGATGCACGTGGCAAGTGAGAGTTGGTAAGGAGCGTTTGTAAATCAACTTCCAGACAAGCTCCAATGTCTTTGCCGAGTCACCCGTATTTGCGCTGCAGATAAACGCTGATTTTCACAGTCGGAAACTGATGTCCCTGCCGCAAGCTCAACAGGAGTTGTGGTGCCGATGGAACTTGAGGCAGGAGCGATTGCGAGCCGCAGCTTTGAAGCACATTGTTGTGGCACACGGTGGCAACTTTGCCACTCCTCTGGGAAACCCAAGAAAAGGACAAACCCAATGCCGGAGCACGGAGCCAAGTTGGAACTGCCAGAGCCCTCCCTGAGCCTGCCAATTCTTGTCTTTATCGGTCCAGTCAAACCTTGCAACGATTGAACATCGGATGTCACAGCCAAGCGGAGGGCCGAAAAAAGAAGACGCTCCGCTGCAGAGCTTCGTCTGTCACGGTGTGCAGTACAGGTTACACTCTCAACATCCCAAACCCATCAACCACCAAGGTTGGACTGTGCTACAACCTCAAGCAGAAGCGTTGCTCCCAGTCTCTCGAACATCACAATGAAATGCTCAGATGCCTCGAAGTCCCGAAAAAGAGACTGCTCCTTTGCAAGAGTCCTCCCGCTACCCTCCAAGCTCCGCCAGGGCTCTTCAAGAAGACGCGTTCCGGGCGCATCCAGGAGTTTTGCAGACTGAAGACGTTCAAGATCACTTTGGATTCGTCTCGCAGGGCCCCGTGGGCTACATCAGCGAAGAGCAATGCTAGACCTCCCTTTGAACAGATTCCTAAATCCCTTAAAGGGACCCTTGAAGGAACCCTTATGAATCTTGACGGGACCCTTACTGTAAAGGAACCCCTTGCAGCAACCCTTCCGGGAACCCCTCGATGGAACCCTAATAAGTGTTAGACCAGCGAGGACTGCGGCTGGACTTTTGCAGCCGGCCTTCATCTGGACGCTGAAAGCACACTTGCTCCTTTCCGGCGAGACAAGGCCTCGGATCTGACCAGACGCTTTTAGCGTTTAGGGCTTAGGGATGATCATTGTTAGCGATAGTATGTGTCTTAGTGTCATCATGATTATTCCCATTATTATTATTACTACTACTACTACTACTACTGCCATCATTGTCAGTGATCGTACTGTTCGGGACGATTCCAACCCTTACAAAGCTCTGATAACGGCTACACACCTCACCGTTTTCAGGGCCTTCGAGCTACACTTCTCCACAGCATTGCTAGGCATTGCGACAAGCAGCAATTGGTGCAGCCTTCATCCCAAAAATGATGCGGCTTGCAACGCGTTGTAACTATCGAATATTTACTCGCCCACTTGCGAAAGGAGCTTCTTCGATCACCCTCTGTTCACTTCACCTCTGCTGCTTGTTTCTATGCCGGTGCAAATAGACTGGCACTTAGCCGCTTGCAGTTGATCGGGAAATTTTGCGCTGTTTTGGAATCAAGCCCAAACCGTCTCAACCCCATGAGCAGAAGAAAGTGCGCGCCAAGCTCGAATCCAAGTGGCACACCTAGGCAGAGTGTCACAGACAGCTCTTGGCAGTCGAAGGGAAAGCTTTTCAATTCTAGCTTCTCCGCAAACTCGCCAGCAATCACCTCGGGTAGATCATGGTCGATCTGGGCTTGTTCGTGCCACGGAAAAAAAGGTACTACGCATGGTCACAGTGACAGCAATCAGGCATGTTTCTATGTGATACTAAAATACTGGCACTACGAAAGCTGAATAGAGTACTGACCACAAGTGTTGATCATTGTCACGGCGACACTGCGAATCGCATGTGCATTACAAGAACACACACAGCATTGGGGCCGATGGCAGTAATGATCATGTGGTAATACAACCGCTGTTGTGCAAACCAGTACTCAGAACACGAGCACTATTCAACATACCGCAGCCATGAACACTAGTAACAACACAGACCGCACGTTTAATGCAATGATGCCGAAGATATCATAAAAGCTAGATGTTTAATGCCATGATGCTGAAATATAACAAAGGCTAGGTGCTGGATCGAACGCGAAGACAACAAGAACGCTCTTGAAAACAAGACTCGATGGAATTTCCAAACTTATATGACTAATGATACTGACAGTTAGAAGAGCTCAGGGAAAGTGCAGTCATGGTATGATAACATATTGTGAATGCTGGACAGGCATAGCAATGGCGATAAAAACAATGATCGCAGGCTTTTGCCAACAGCAATAAAGCTAATAATCCGTCACCAGAATGACAACCAAGCCCAAATCGTCAACAGAGTAGCACTCACAATAACAGCTATGACAACAAGCAGACGAAGAAGAAGGAGAAGCAGAAGAAGAAGAACAACAACAACACCAACACAACGACAACAACAATAAACGACAAGGACGACGACGACCACAACCACGACCGCCACCACCAACACCACCAGCACCACCACCACCACCTCCACCACCACCAACACCACCACCAACACCACCACCAACACCACCACCACTACCACCACCACCACCACCACGACCACCACCACCACTACCACCACCACCACCAACAACAACACCACCACCACGCACGAGCACCACGAGCACCACGAGCACCACGACAACCACGCCCCACGACCACGACTACGACCACCACCCGACGACGACTGCGGCGGCGGCGATGGCGACGGCGACAACCACTACATCAGCAACAACGTGAAGAATGAGAAATCCGCAAATACGATAACAGCGGGTCGGTGCAGAAGAGACCTTCAGCTGGACACTGCGCTGACAAAAACACGATAACAGCAATACTCGTGGCACTAATTAATAGCAATCAATAACCATACAACCATACAGACAAGCAATGTTGCCACGCGACCCAAGACATCTTGACCACGCTGCTGCCGTCCTTGTAGTCCATCCAAACTTTCGGCTTGGGTGATTCGTCTGTTGGCTCCTCGAGACAGTTCCTGAGATTCGAGTCTCAGAGGGCAGCATACTTTGGTAGGTTACGACTATATTGATGACACTATGATATAGGATGATTAAAGGATTTGGGACACCAATCTCTACCAGCTGCCCCGCTGCAAACATGCTGCTCCCGAGGCAGGAAGCTCGAGTGCCGCACAGATGCCACAAACTCTATACAGCGCAGGCTGACGTTCAGGTTGTCGTAAAGACCATCAGCGCATTACAGACAGTTCGATCATCACGGGCTCGACAGTTCGGTCCGCATGTCATGTATACATTTTGTATTACATATATATATATGTAGTTATACTGTATATCATATATGTTTTTGGTCAAGGTGCTCCACTGTGAATCTCGAGCGGCATTCAGTTTTGGTTTTCGCCATGTCGACGTTGGCTCCAGGTATCGCGGCAGCACACTCGCCCTCGACTTTCTTCTTGAGAAACTGAAAGCATTTCTCGGCCTGCCAAGACTCCAAGACGGTGTCGCACACGAAGTCTCATGAACATTGATCACACAACGGAAGCGGAGACACAAAACTTCTAGCACCCACGGTCTCGGTCTGTGCAGCACTTATGTTGTTGTGGATTCCCACGCTACGCATGCACCAGATGCCATGTACACCATCCAGAAACTTGAAGATGTGATGATGCTCAGGGAAGGCAGCAAGCTCACAGATCGCAGGTTTCCCAGAAACTCCCGACTTCGGATCAAAACGCGGTCTGTGGGGCCTGCAAGAACACTCCTTGTCAATCTATCTCTCAGTAGAGGTGGTTCAGCCAGGAAGTTGAGCTGTTGAGCTCTCTCGCTCCCCCCCTTCGCCGGCCTCCTTCTCCTTCGCTTCCTGCACAGGACGTTTAGGGCGTCGCTTTCCGGACCAAAGGGCGAGTTGAGTCAAGCCTTCGCATCATCTGTGAGCTCTTGGAACCCTAGAAGTCTTACAGTTGCTTTGGGGTTTAGGGTTGGAGGCGTTTGGGGGCTTTTGGCACGGGTCTTGCCTCGTGAATCCCAGTGGATCGGGATATTACCGGCGAACATCGAAAACAGCCTCATGACATCCAAAGCTAATTACAGGCTTTTACCATGTCGATGTTTGGCAGATACGGCCGAACGGAGGGACGGAAGGACGGAGGGACGGACGGAGGGACGGACGGACCCCATAAATCCCTATGGCTCCCTTCTAAATCCCGATGGATCCATACCGAAGCAGTCAAGGGGCATGCGTCTTCGCGGAAGGGATCCTTGGCTGAGAGAACAGTGGTCGGCTCCCACCTCTCGGGTGAAGTCCCTTCACTTTGGTGTTCTTTGCTTCGGGTTTTGGGTTTGGGGTTTATGGTTTCGGTGTTGCGGATTGCTACACAAAAATCTGTGGCTTGGTGCCAGCGACAGGTGGCCCCCGTTGTTTCGTCGGTCTGTCCGAAAGATTGCCGGCCGCGACATGCGACCACGAAGAGTGCCAAGTACCAAGAAAAGAATAACAAAGACTGCCGATGGAGCGGCATGCTGGAAACCTAGCTGTTCTCCGCAAGAATCTCTCGGCAAGGCCACCTTTCCTGAAAGATACGGAAACAACGTAGCCGACACTTCCATATTGCTACATGCAGAACCAGCGTCAACCTCGCCTCGAAGAAGAAGCGAGCTGAGAAACTCTCTTCCAACTGCTTGATCCTGAAGGGTTTAGGGTTAAGGTTTTACCGTTTAGGGTTATGGAGTCAGGGTCCCCTTGGATTGAGGTCACACTTGCCTGACCTTGCATCAATATTAACAGCCGTCTTTGGGGTCCACGTGACACATCCACTGGCTTCGCAAAAAAGTAAGCGACAAACTTGTCAACTGCAGCTGAACAAAGTCCGCCAAGCACGAGAACAAGGCTCTGCATCAACTTGTCCACGTTGGCACGCACCGCCATGAAGTACTTTGGAGAGCCTCAGGCTGCGGTTTCAAAGAACCAATGACATTTCCCGGATGCGAGGAAGGCTGAACAAAGGATCGCCTGAATCCGAGCTCCGCCGCACGCGGTCTGCAATCTCTGAGGGCGACACACGCATCGTCAGGACCTCAAGCCATGCTGCAACCACGAGATGACACACGCCTTTGCAGCATGGTACGCTTGTGCTGTGGCGCAGCATGATATCAGACACATCTTAGCATAGCCTGGCATCGTGGGATGGTCCTTCTACAGCGTCTGCAAAAGAGGCCTAGGCGATGGTTGAATTGCAGTGCTGCAAAGTTCACATGAAAACCTGGTTTAAGCGGTGCTAGTCTGCTAGTCATGCTGGGTGTAGCGATAGTGCGGAAAAGATCAGTCCCGCCGCGAGTCCAAACGACGGCAGCACAGTAAACAGCAACAGAAAGCTGGCAATCCGACGCGCAGTACTGCTGAAAGGCATGCAGATGACTTTACAAAGCTGTCCGCCGATGATGATGATGATGATGATGACGATGATGGCAGGCTTGATCATGCTGTTATGAGAAGCTAGTGGCAATAGCTTTGCTGATGTAGCTCATACACTGCTCACAAATCCAATGACGACACTCCTGTCACGCCTCTCGACCAATGCGAAAAACTAATCAAATTGACGAGATGAACACGGGCAAGGTTCCGGAAAGTCAGAACATTGACTACATGAAGAACAGACCATACATGATATGCATGAGTGCCATGACAACGAGAGTCGCATGGATACTCTGTTTTCCAAGGCCGTGAAAGTTGCATGACACCGACGCGTAATGCTGCCAAGTATAAAGCACAGACACCAAGTGAGTCGGCAACAATATATGTTACATGTGCCTGTCACCCTAGTCAACTCGGTCAAGCCACGAACATCGTGTTCACCCCCAGCTTCTTCATCGCTGGATCCAACGTCGCAGCGGCAAAGCAGCCGCTGTCTCTCAGCCATGTGGACAAGTCGAACAATTACGATGCTTCCCTGTTGATGCATCTATGGACGTTGAGCATGTACTCAAAAATGATCGCTAGAAGGGCCCCCCTACTTCCTTAGAACGATACCCATCCACGGATTCTTGGGCATTCTTAGCGGACCGCCTCGAGAGAGCAAGCACCAAACGCCGCAGGCATTTTTCCGTTCAAAAAGAGCCCCGTAAACCCGAAACCCTAATGGGGGTTTCGGTTCGAGGTTGAACCCTAAACCCTATAAACCCTAAACCCTAAACTATTCTTCAGTGAGTGGGGACTCGCATCGAGTTCACAAGGGCTTCGGGTTTAAGACCCTTATAAACCCTTTTCAAGCCCCGCTGCACCCACGCCCTTTTGTCTCCTGGCGGGTGGGCGAGCGCTTCTGCCACAGCTTCTGAGACCTTCCGTCTCGTCTCCTGACGGGAGCAAGTCTCCATAAATCTTCCCAGTCACGGTTTCCCCTAAACCCTAAGCGCGTAAACTAAACCCTAAACTCTAAAATCCTAAACCCCTAAACCCTGAACCCCTGAACCCCTAAACCCCTAAACCCCAAACCTCCTAAACCGAAACCCTGTGAGGTTTGGCGTTTAGGGTCAGACCCCTCTGCCCTTGCTTCATGGGGCGTGAGACCTCGACCGCCCAAACCCTACACACAAGCCCTAAATCCTAAGCCCGAACACCCTCTGGGCCCCAGATTTAAAAAAAAGCCGACGTCCCTACACCCAAAAGCCCTAAATCCTAAACCGTGTACCCTAAACCCTAAACCCTGAATCCCAAGCCGTCTACACCCTGAACCCTAAATCCCAAACCGTCTACACCCTATATCCTACCTAAGACCCCTAAAGCCCCGCCTCCGGAATCGCTCCCGCATCGGCCGGGCGATAGCTGGCCGTAACGTCCGTGATGGTCACTTCCGAACCCATGGCCTGCTCGTGGCTCTTAGGGTTTGGGGTTTTAGGGTTTAGGGGTTTAGGGTTTAGGGCTTAGGGTTCAGGGTTTAGGGGTTTTAGGGATTTAGGGTTTAGGGGTTTAGGGTTTTTTTTTTTAGGGTTTAGGGGCTT